TTCCAAAAAGCACACCACCCCCAGTGTTGTCGAGCTGGTTGCTCAATCAGGGGGCATCTGCTGAGAGGAATGTGGTTATTTTTTCCGTAGTTACCGACCTCCCTTTTCTGATCTTGCTGTCTCACTTCTTCTACCAGAATTAATGCACTAGAAAAGAAAATATCCAATGTTTCAAGAAGGAAAGGTGTAATCTTCTAGAGATGCTGAAGGGGCTTAGAAGTTACCTGTCTTCGGACTGAAGAATACAGGCTAGGATTGTCTGTTATAAGGTAGAGAAAATCAAATATGCCCTATCTGTGAAGGTGAGCCTAAACACACACACACACACACACACACACACACAGATTTGAATGGGTGAGTAATGTCAAGGCTTCTTTTGGCCATCGAATGCCAGCTTTCCACACACTAACCTTCCCTCACCTACTGGCACACGTATAGAAAAGAGACACCAATTGACATTTGTCTTCCCTGAGCTGTGCTTTGTTTCACAGTTGAGCACCAAAGAGAAGGTGACAAACACACCTGAGAACTGTGTCATCATAAGTGTCCTAACACGTGGCAGTTGACTTGAAAGAGGAAATAAGACAGGAACTTTTCTGTTCATTTTCCTCTGATTATTGCTAGTGAGCACATGTGTGTCATGTGGCTTTCTTCTTGACGTGTGCTTTTTTCCTGTTCTCAGTGCTCTTGGGAAGAAGACCCGCTCTTCGGTTTTGTGCCAAACCTGGCGGAACCTCATTTCTCCAAGGTGGCACTAGGGGCTGTCAATGTCACACACAGGAGCTAGAGTGTTCCTACAGCAAAGGATGATGAAAGAGCTGAAGGCAGATGCCTGCGTGACCTTCCAGATGGAAACTGTATGGGAGAAAGAGAGCTCCAGTCAGAGTCAGAAACACAGCACACAAATAGAGAGCCTCAGTCCTGAGAGTGCTTGCAGGCGCTTCTGGAGCTTCCATTGTTTTGAATCGTCTGGACCCCTCGAGGCTGTCAGCCAACTTCAGAAGTTATGCCATGCGTGGCTGAGGCCAGAGATCCACTCGAAAGAGCAGATCATGGAACTGCTGGTGCTAGAGCAGTTCCTGACCGTTCTGCCGGAGGAGATTCAGGACTGGGTGCGGAAGCATCATCCACAGAATGTCAAGCAGGCCGTGATCCTGGTAGAATGTTTGCAGAGAAAATCTGAGGGAACCAAGAATGAGGTGAGGAGCAAGGTTGCTTGCATATACAGTGAAATAGGAGAGAGTGCTTGCATCAGGATGGGCGTCATCAGGGAATTAAATGGATGAAGTCACTCTCCTTTGTTCTGTAGGACAGCTAGGCAGGATCTGAAATCACAGACATGCAGCAGTAGTCACTTCACAGGTTTCAGAATTTCTGGCAATCTTTCCTGGCCTTAGAGGAAAGAAATACATTTATCCCTCTCCAGAGCCACGAAGAATTGAGCATGGTGGGCCTAGTCTGGGATGGCCAAGGAGACAAGACTTGAGTTCTCAGAAACTGAGAAATAAGAGGCAAGAAAGAGTTGGAAAAGGGGGAAAGATCTTAAAAATGGGCAGTGCTTATAGAGACCAAAGGACACACAGAGGGTACCGGACAGAAGCCGAAATCAAACCACTCTGGAGACTGCAAATGAAGAGGAGAAATGGAAAGAAAAAGGCAACCACAGGTAGGGAAAGAAGACAAATGCCAACAGAGAAGTGGAGGGAATCATCACGCTGAGGGGTAGAGTCCTCTCTAGCCGGAGCACACATCTCTGACCTTGCAAAAGAGCCTCACTGCCCTCCCTCACTGGCCTGTCCTTGGCCCTCTTGGGGCATGCGGGACCGAGGTTCACCCTAGGGAGAGAGCAGCACATTTTCTTTTCTCAGGACCTCACCTTGAAGAATCCAGGACAGGGCACAGTTCTGGTGTCGCGTGAGAACCAAATCACCTGGAGGGAGGCTGGAGCCCAACTCTTCCCCTGGTTTTCCCCCTCCATCCATCCCCTTTCCCATGAAACCTTTCCCTGGCTGTGGGAGGATTGGAGCCTGGCTGACAGGAAAACCTTTTTTATTCCATTCCTTCTCTTTTACAGAAAAGCAAAAGATATAAATCCACTAAGGCAAGGATCCAAGTCCAGAAAGCAATCCAGTGGAGGCGACAGAGGAGCAAGCAGCCTGCCCAGTGCCGCTAGTGGCTTGAGCTGGGGCTCTGTGAACGGACGAGCTTGGGGGCTGCTGGGTTGGGTGGGGGTCAACGGTAGTCACAGCTCTTTCCCTTCTCTCCTAATTTCCCCATATTTTGAGTGTAGTTGTTTATGAGAACACAGTGGCGCTTCACCTCTTCAGTCTTTTTTATTGTTTCCTGTGATGTCAGGCCCTCCTCACGTTGGGGCTGCACTCTTGTTCCTCCCTTCTCCACCACCCCGGAAACAAAGGTAAATTCTGTGCTAATGAGGATGGGTATATTTCTAGGTCACAGCCCATGAGCTGCAAAAGGAAGCAGCGCCATTGGGAGGAGCAGCAGTGGCCCCAGGCTTCAAGAGGAAGCCAGCAGAGCCCCAACCAATGGGCATGTTGCAGAAAGAATGTTGGAATCCGTACCGGGTTCTACAAGAAGAGCTGGGCAGGCATATTCCCAAAGTCACCCAGCCTGCACATGATAAAGGTGAGGAGCTCCATGATAATTCTCTTCTCCTGGCAGTTACGATAGTAACTGGTTCTGTTAGAATGTAATGGGAATTTTCCAGGCACCGAACCATGCTAGCGGCTATGATATCTGCCAGGTGGGGTACAGTAGGTCTACACTGGGTGAAGGTGGGGGTTGGCCTGGCAACAGAAATGTCTAAACCACAGAACCCCTGTATTCATACCATAGAATCTGCTCCTGTGAAACTTGACTGGATAGATGTAGAAGGAGATGGGACAGGGATACATAGGGCCATCTCGCCCTCCACAGTTGCCAGAGAAATTGGGATCAGACATAAGCGATTAGTGGCAGGATGTGATGAAAATTGAGCACCATGAAAAAAGGTATAAAAAATAAAAATATTTCCCATTTCCTACTGAACACTGAGGAACCTGAGGCCTTCGTTTTCAAAGCTTTATTTTTTTCCCAACTCAGTGAGCAACTTGACAGGAAAAATTAATGGTGTTTTACGATTTCTCTCATGAAATCTTTGGTAATAATAAACTAGGTAATTGGTTCTTTTAGTGGTAGATATTTAGTTCTTATTTACAGTGATTGACCACTTCTGGGCAAAGCACACATATTTTTCAAGGTGACCCATATTTACTGATGGGTCTTATGTTCTCTATTGTAGAAACCAGCTTAAGATGTTCATAAACAGGAAAGAGAGATATTTTCTCTGTCTCTTTTCCACCCACAGCTGTGCATGCTGAACAGACGTTAGCCCCTTCTGAGCAGAAAAGCAGCAAAGGCTGGAAGATGGTGTCCATGAACATCCTTCCTGAGTCCCAGGTGAGCTGACCCTTCCAACTTCTTGAGGCAGCCTGAACACAGCCTTGTCTCTGCTTGTCCCTGCTGCCTCGGACTTACAGTGTGTTACAGGTATTTTGAGGCCTCTTAGCGCCGGATGTTCTCCAGGCCACTAGGCTTGGCACAGTGGGGATTGACAACCTCTCAGGCTGTTAACTGATTCTCTTTGCTCCTTTTCTGCCATCTCACTTCTGCCCCTAAATCTTGTACTGCTAGCATCTTCAGTGCCCTCCCTGTCATATCATTCAAAGATGGGAGTGGCAGGATAGACTTAGTGGCCAGCACTAAACGACTGCCTGATCTCTCCTTTAGAGTTTGTTGACCATTGAAGATGTGGCTGTATATTTTTCTGGGGAAGAATGGCTGTTGTTGGTTCCTGCTCAGAAGACACTCTATGAGGAAGTAATGCAGGAAAACTACGAGAATGCCATCTCTGTTGGGAAAGAGTCTTATTTCCCTTTGTGTAGAAGTTGAGTCATACATCATGTCATCTGTTTGTGGAAAATGAACCTCTGTGAGTGAGTCTGAGTTTTCCACTAGCCGGCGGATTCCCACCGTGATGAGTGGGAGTAAGCTCTCTAGAACACCCGGAGAGCCTTTCATATATATGTATGTCTCACTTTCGTATTCTAAATAGAATTCATGATCTATCATACACTTGCCCTACCCTACAAAACTGGTGTTGACGTATCTTTCCCACCTTAGTAGCAGGCACCATCATTTACTCAGTTGCTCAGGCTAAAAGCCTTTCAGTCATCCGTTACTGCTATATACCACAACTTAAACATCAGCAAAGGCTCTTAGATGTATCTTCACAATATATACTAAATCATGAATGAATCCTGAACATTTGCCATAACACTATAAGAAAGGGATTGGTAGTAGCAGGATCCTGCTGGGGTGGAGGTGGGGATACAACATCAATAAGGGTACTTGATCTCAAACCAGGGAAAGTGCGGACCAAAGAGAGGCTCACTGCACGATGTCCACTTGTATACCTAATCCTGAATTGTGCCCAACATCTTTAAATAAAATACATACAAAATTAAAATAAAATGAACAGATAAACAAAGCTGCCATGAACATTTGTGTACAGGTTTTTGTGTACAGATAGGTTTTCATTTCTCTGGTATAAATGCTTCAAGGGGACAATTGCTGAGTCATATGGTAATTGCATGTTTCATTTTATGAAAAGAACTTCCAAACTGCTTTCCATAGTGGCTTACCCTTTTGTATTCCCATCAGTCATGTATGAACGATGCAGTTTCTCTACGTCCTTGCCAGTTTTCAGTGTTAGTACTTAAAAAATTAAATTTATCCATTCTTACCGATGTGTAGGGATATCCTTTGTGGTTTTGATTTACATTTCCCTAACTGCTAAAGTGTTTTATTATTTTTCCATCTGTTTATGTGTCATCACTGTATCCTCTTCAGTGACTATCTTCCTTTTTCCATGCAGCCATGCCAGCCCCTGTTGTTTTTGACTGATTAGTGATATTCATGCTTACTGGAGTTAGTTGGTATCTCACTGTAGTTTTGACTTGCATTTCTCTGATGATTAGTGAGGCTGAGCATTTTTTCATGGGTCTATTGGCTGGCTATGTGCCAACTTTTGAGAAGAGTCTATTCATGTCCTTTGCTACTTTCTTTTTCTTTCCCTTCGTTTGAGTTCCTTATAGATCCTGGATGTTAGGCCTTTCAGGTACATAATTAGCAAATACTTTTTCCCCATACTTGGGATGTTTGATTACTATCTTGATGGTTTATTTTCCTTGCAAAAGCTGTCAGTTTGATGAGGTCCTACCTGTCTAACTTAGCTGTTGTAGCATTTGTTTTGGGGAACTTGATCATGAATTCATTTTCTCTTCGGAAGTCCAGAAGGGTGTTTATTACAGTTTCTTCTTATAATTTGAGGGTTTTAAAACAATTTATGACTATAAATTCACGATGTTTTTCTTATCTGTTTAATTTTGGCAGAATATTTAGTGATATACCCTATTTCCTCCTTGATATTGGTGATTTCTTTTTTTTTCTTTTTTCATTTTTGCCGGTCTTGACAAACTTTTACTAATTTTATTAATTTTTTGAAGAACACGATTTTTGATTATGATTCTAGACTCATCATTGTTTTCATTTTTCAATCCCCTTTGGTTTTATTTTCCTTTTTATCTAGTTTCTTGAGTTTAGAACTTAGATTATTGATTTCAGACTTTTCCCTTAAACATTGAGGACAAAAACATTTCCCTCTGTGCATTTTTCAGCTGCATTCC